TGCTGAGCAGCCAACCCTGCTTTACCCTTGGCTGAGATAAACAGCATTACCAGTTGTATAATCGTAGAATGTTAAAAAATACTGACAAATGCCAAAAGGGGTAACATTTGTTTTATGGCATCTGGAATGTGAACTTGAATTATACAGTTTATTAGGATAAAATCCTGGTGTAAATTTGGCTGTTGTATCAAATGGGAATTTTAATTTTAGTCTTTGACAGAGTGTCAGTCCTTTAGAGAAGTGCTAAAATAACATTTCATCAGAAAGCATGCAGGAATGTGGCAAAACTCCCGTACAATCTTTACCCAATTACAGCCATCTTGAATCTTCATTAAAATAGAAAAAAATGTTCCATGAAAGTGTTGGTCTGAGTGTCTTTTTAATATCTCCCAATGAAAGGCCTTCTGGGAGAGATTGTTCTTGAATACAATTCACAGTGGAGGGGCATCCATTTATATATATATCAGCATTTCTATTCACCGAGTACATTTCCTCACATGTTAAAATGAAAACTGTCTAGTCCAGTGATCCATGTGTGAAGTATTTTATCAAATCATGCCAGGGAGTCAGTGTAGGCCTTTTGACAGCCAGTTTGTATGAGGCATGCACACAATGAAATGTTTTAATTTTACTTTAAAAGGGCACAGATGTTACCAGAGCAGTAGCTTGCGAACAGCCCTGTGTAAGGGGGTGGGAGACCGTTGGAGAGTTTACTTTGGTTCAGTTCCACAGACGTTCAGCTAGTTTTAGAGTCGGTTTCCCAATTGCACAGTCTGCCAAGTCACACACAGAGTTAGTTTCCGTGTTATTCCAAGGTTTGGGGCTATTCAGTTCTCTCTAAAGCCTAGACATAAAGGTGGAAGTCTAGGGGAAGAGTAAGAAGTGCTATTAATAATTCATTTGAAAGGAGTTTTTATTTAAAGTATCAAGTAAGCAACCAAGAAAGTATAGGATTAACTAACTTAAAAAAAATCTTTTGAGTGTTTTAGCTGAGAATCAGTTTTACTTATTTTAAGCAGAGATAATACTTCAAATTTAGATGAAATTTTAGAGAACAAACAACGTGTGTATTGCTTGACAAAAGATATATATTTTTATATTTTAATTACAGTTGATGTTCGATATTATTTTATATTAGTTTCAGGTGTACCACATAGTGGTTGGACAGTTATATAATTTACAAAGTGATCCCTCTGATAATTCTAGAATCCACATGACATTATATATAGCTATTTCAGTATATTCTCTATGCGTACTTTATATATCCCCATGACTATTTTCTAATTACCAATTTATACTTCTTAATCCCTTTATCTTTTTCACCCAGCCACCTATCCTGCCTCCCATCTGGCAACTCTATTTGTTTTCTGTATCTGTGAGTTATTTCTATTTTGTTTATTTGTTGGTTTTGTTGTTTAGAGTCCACATATGAGTGAAATCACATGGTATTTGTCTTTTCTCTGTCTGACTTATTTCACTTAGCATAATACCCTCTAGGTCTGTTCATGTTGTCCCAAATGGTAAGATTTCATTCTTTTTTATGGCAGAGTAATATTCCTTTGCATATGTATACCACATCTTCTTTATGTACTTGTCTGTTGATGGGCACTTGAGTTGTTTCCATATCTTGGCTGTTGTAAATAATGATGCAATGAACATAGGGGTACTTATATCTTTTGAATTAGTGTTTTGGATTTTTTCGATATACAGGGTGGGGCAAAAGTAAGTTTATAGTCGTTTGTATGGAAAATAATACAAGGATAAACTGTTTCACGTATTCACAACTGTAAACCTACTTTTGCCTCACCTTGAATAGCCAGAAGTGGAATTTCTGGGTGATAACCTAGTTTTATTTTTAATTTTTTGAGGAAGCTCCATACTGTTTTCTGTAGTGGCTGCACTAATCTGCAATCCCACCAACAGTGCAGAAGAGTTCTCTTTTCTTCACGTATTCGCCAACACTTGTTATTTGTTGATTTATTGATGATAGTTACTTGATAGGTGTGAGGTGATTTTAATTTTTGTTTCTCTGCTGACTAGTAATGTTGAGCATCTTTTCATATGCCTATTGGCCATCTGTATGTCCTCTTTGGAGAAGTGTCTATTCAGGTTCTCTGCCCATTTTTAAATTGGATTGTGTGTGTGTGTGTGTATGTGTGTATGTATTGAATTGTATGAGTTTATAAATTTTGCGTATTAACCCCGTATTGAATGTATCATTGGTGAGTTGTCTTTTTGTTTTGTTGATGGTTTCCTTTGCTGTGCAAAACTTTTGTTTATTTTGTCTCACAAAAGACGTCTTTAAAAAAATTTTAGCCCTGGCCGGTTTGGCTCAGCGGTTAGAGCGTCCGCCTGCAGTCCGGAGAGACCCGGGTTCGGTTCCCGCTAAGGGCATGTACCTCGGTTGCAGTTTGTCCCCGGCCCTGGTTGGTCATGCGGCTGGCAGTCACTCGATGTGTCCCTTTCACATCGATGTTTCCCTCTCTCTCTCTGTTCCTCTCTCTCCCTCCCACTCTATCTGTACAAAAAATGGAAAAATGCCCTCGGGTGAGGATAAAAAAAAAAAAAAATTTTAAACATGTGTTGAGATAGACTGGGGAAGTGTTCTTTTTCGTTTGAAGCACTTTACTTTTATTTATAGGACAATAGGTCTCCTAAACTTGTTATTGAGGTCCCATGATTTTAGAAACAAAACAATATTTTAATAAGAAATAAAGCAATTACAAACTCAGAATTTGTGATTTTGCTTTATATTCCCCTCCTTCATAATAGGTGAGATGGTACAGAGGATACATAAGATTGATTAGTTGGCATTTTCAACTGGGCTTTCTCTAAGAAAGTCTCTAGTTAACTTCCTCTGGGCCTCTCAGTTCTGGTAGTCTTTACTTATTATTATTTTTTTAAATCCTTGCCTGAGGATACTTTTCCATTGATTTTTCAGATAATGTGGGAGGGAAGGAAGGGGGGAGAGAAAGAGAGAGAGAGAAAAACATCAGTGTGAGAGAGACACATCAATTGGTTGCCTCCCACACAACCCCAACCAGGACCCGGGACCGAACTGCAACCTAGGTATGTGCCCTTGACCGGAATTGAACCCATGACTCTTTGATCTGCAGGCCAATGCTCTAACTGTTGAGCCAAACTGGCCAGGGATATTTATTTATTTATTTATTTATTTATTTTTTAAGTTAAAAAATAATAGTAAAAGAATTTTGAAAAGCGAAGTTGTTTCACAAAACCATTGGCTTTTTTTCTTGGGGTAGAGGTATTTTTTATTCTTGCTTTAATGACATAAATATTTTATAAAGCTGTAATTATAGTATAAACTTTTGTGCTTTATTATTATTATTATTATCATTTTATCCTCACCTGAGGACATTTTTTTGCATTTATCTTCAGATAGAGCTGGAAGGAGAGAGAAAGGGAGAGAGAGAAACATCGATGTGAGAGAGACACATCGAGTGGTTGCCACCCACATGACCCCACCCGGAGACAAACTACAACTGATGTACATGCCCTTAGCAGGAACTGAACCTGGGACTCTCTGGTCCGCAGGCGGACGGATGCTTTAACCACTGAGCCAAACCAGCCAGGGCAACTTTTGTGCTTTTTTAAAACTTGAAATTGATTCACAGTTTTTTTATGTTGTGAAGTTCTCAAAAGTTATTTTGAATTTATTTTGATTGTTTAATGTTGAAATGATGAACTATAATTTACCCACCCCCACATATTATTAAATCTTGAGGTTGATTTTGATTATGGTGTATCTGGCAGTATAGCCTTGAACATCTTGTCGATTTAACTTTATTCTTCTATTAATATTAGGATAAACGATTTAAATTATTTTTACAGTAGTTGGTATGTTCTGCTAACTTTTTTTATTATATTTTAATTTATTTTTTGTTAATCCTCACCTGAGGATATTTTTTTTAATTGATATTTAGAGAGAGTGGAAGGGAGGGAGGGAGAGAGAGAGACATCGATGTGAGAGAGACACATCAGTTGGTTGCTTCCTGCATGACACTGACTGTGGCTGGGGATCAAACCTGCAACCCAGTACGTGCCTTTGACTGGAATTGAACCCGTGACTCTTCTGTCAGCAGTCCAGTGCTCTAACTGCTGAGCCAAACCGACCAGGGTGTGTTCTGCTGCCTTGTAAATTAAAGTATTTTTGATTTGTCTTTTAGAATTTGGGGACCATTGCTAAAGTTACTAAATGGGGAACTTAAAATTATATGAAGCATAAAGATACTGAGCTTTCTAACCCAGGAATATCTTTCCAGGTTCTGGTTGGCAATAATAAGAATAGCTACTTCTGGGAGAACCTCCTATGTGTTAGGTGCCTTTTATGCTTTATTGTCTACTGGCTTTGCAGGTAGCATTGATTAAATAGGGTGAAATAGCTACCAGAACCAGAATAGTACACTTGAGCCTAAATTAGTAAACTGAAAATAAGTTTGGTTTCTTAGCCACAAGATTTGGTTTATTAAATTGTAGACTAGGCAACACGTTTTCAAACCACAGAGTTCCATGACTTCTTTTGTTCTAGTGTTAATGGAACAGTATTATTCAGGCTGATGGCTCCATTTGTAAGCTGGATCATGCCTTGCCTTGGCTTTTGAATGCCTGGTAATAAAGTGCCTTAATTGTGGGTCAGTGAAGCCAAACTAATTGCTTGTTGGGTACTTGGATTGCCTTTTTAATTTGCTGTATAATGCAGTCGCTACCAGAAGTACACAATATATCGTTATCTAAATAAAACTCATTAAAATCATCTCACAACAACAGAATGCCTGATGTTTTGTCCATAATCTTGCAAATAAGAGAAAATTGAATGGCATTATAGAGACTTATAATTTACAAGTACTCTATTTTAAGTGCCTTTGTATCCATTTTGGAAGTTATACATAAAATTACTGCTATGGTTTATGTCAGTGTGATAGTTTTCTGTAAAAAAGACATCTCTGCTGTTATTCTCAACTCAGCCTTTCTTTTTGTAGGTTATTTCTTATGAGAGTCATGGATATTCCCTATCTAAACTTGGAAGGACCAGACTGTAAGTGAAATTTTATTTTCTTATGCATCTGTACATTCAAGTGTGTGGACTGGAAGGGATAACAGGAAAAGTATGACCGAAGAAAGAGCTTTATTCACTTAAAAATAGGCAGTGATTTTTGTGGTTGATATGAATAGTATGCTTAAGTTAATGGTACCCTGAGCCTTGATTAACTCATCTCTCTACTTACATTTTCCAGTTTATGCATGAGTTGATTTTTAAAAAATCTCCATAATTTCTTTTCACTCAGAACTCTAAATTCATCATTTCCTATAAATGTATATGTATAATAGATTTTAAAATGTATTAGCTATGTCAGTAACAGTAAGTTATTTATTTTTTATTTATTGAAGTACCATATATTTCAACTTAGTAGGTGATTTTTGTTTTTGTTGTTGAAAATCTTGGAAGGCTAATCTATTTGGGAGGTGGTTGCTTCTTCTGATTATTCTGCCTTGGTATATTTGTCTTAATATTATGCAACAGGGATATAAAAATGGGTAAACTATACTTGATGATAATCATTACAATAATATTCATTTGAGGACATACTGTGTTGCACTTAGTATTAGATTTACATTTAAATCGTTGTTGTCACAACAATTCTGCAAGGTAAATATCCTCATTCCCAATTTATAGCCATGAGTGGCTAGAGTGGTTAGATCTCTTGATTAGAGTTACAGTTCAGTGGAGGGTCTGCTATTAGAACACAAAATTGTGACTTGGGACTACCTATACTGAAACATAATTTAATTTGAACAGTGCAGGTTTTTTTGTTTATTGTTTTGCTAAATAAACACATGGACAACTAGATTAAAAGGAGAAGGTTAAATTAGCTTGGTAAAACATCTCAAACAGAGCAGCCATTGTTGTTTTTTAAATAATTTTCATAGGAACTTTATGAGCAAATATGTTTCTTCATAGAATTGCTAGGGTTCAAATTGTTATGGGTTCTATAACGTCTAGGCTAAGATGGTAGAGTCCTGCCATTCCTAAAAATGTGTTTAGGAGTTGTGTGGTAATCAGGAGGCATTCATAATAATTCCCCAAGTTAGCTTGGAGAACTCATAGTATATTGTTCACTTTTCAGCTATCAGCCTTTTATCAATAATTTGTCTTGTAGTGCAACCTAAACGTGATCACGTTCTCCATGTGACATTCCCCAAAGAATGGAAAACCAGTGACCTTTATCAGCTTTTCAGTGCCTTTGGTAAGTAAATCACTTTGCTCTTCTTTTGGTCTAGGTGATCAGAGGTATATAGATAGCTTCAAGGGCATAAAAAATATTAATATGCAAAGTTTTAATCTCACTTACGGAATTTTTGGGAGTTTGGTATACTGCCATCTTTGTGCTAATACGATCTGAGGAACTTATTTATTTTTAAATCCAGATTTTTTTTTAAATTCTCACCCAAGGATATGTTTTTATTGATTTGAGAGAGAGAGAGAAACACACACACATTAATATGAGAGCAAAATATCAGTTGGTTGCCTCTGTACACATCCCAAATGAGGATTGAACCCTAAACCTGGGTATGTGCCCTGACCTGGAATTGAGCCCTCTACCTTTCGGTGTACAGGATGGTGCTCTAATCAACTGAGTCACACCGGCCAGGGTGATCTGAGTACCTTTTAACAGCACCCTACAAGAGAGAGCTATTATTAATCCATGGAAAGCAAGATACAATTACTATGACTTCCTTTACTGCTAACCATGGAAAATAAGTCTAGACTGAGAATAAATCATTTTTAAGATTAAGGGCAGTCAGTTGGTCACTGCTTGACATTGAATAGTCCAAGCAGATGAACACAGATGTTTGAGGGGACCAAGATATGCGACATGTAGGAGGTAGGACAGCTTTTCTTTTTCCTTTTTATCAGGTCAGGGATTAGGTTAAATTGAACAGTCTTTCTGATTAGGGTTTATACAGACCATTCCTATTGTAAGTCTTTAACAGTGTTCCCCCCCCCCCTTTTTTTTTTTTAACAAATGAGGTATTTAGGCTTTTCTCTTTGGATATTCTTGGCTAAAGTGAAGGCAGCAAAAATCTAAATGTCCAATAATAAGAATGTTTAGTAAATGTTAAGAATGTTTATCTATATCAACAGACTACTGTGTAGCCATTTAAAAATATTTGAAGGGTTTACTAAAAGATGGTAAAGTGTTTATATGTGTGTGTGTGTATATATATATATTTTTTATTTTATAATAAAAAATATATTATTTTTTTATTTTTTTAAATTTCAGACCATCCTTTGTGGTCTCATTTTGTTTTACTTTTTAAATTTATTTTTTAATCCTCACCTGAGGATATTTTCTGTTTATCTTCAGACAGAGTGGGAGGGGGAGAGAGAGAAACGTCGACGTGAGAGGGGCACATTGACTAGTTGCCTCCTGCATGGCCCCGACCAGGGCCCAGGAGGAACCACAGCCAAAGTATGTGCCCTTGACTGGAATTGAACCCTCGACTCCTTGGTCCATGGTCCGATGCTCTAACCACTGAGCCAAACCAGCCAGGGCAAAGTGTTTATATTTTAACATTTAGGGTAAAAAGCATATACAAGGTAGGATTCCTGTATAACTAAAATTGTGGGGTTTTTTCAACTTTGTATAGAAACCAGATGAAAGGAAACATAATGCTATTATCACTGAATGTTTTAGATAGGATTTTTTCTTCCTCTTCATGCTTTCTGTATTTTCTAAAATAAGCATATATTAGCTTTTAAAGTAAAAACTTTACATACTTAAATTTTAGAAAAGTAAGTGAAAGCAGGTATATTTCTGGAAAAATCTTTGCTGATAGTGTAAATGTCTTCTGAAATTCTAGTCCTACTTTTAAACTTAAACTCAGGTATAGAAATGCAGTTGAATTTCACAGCTCATTTCTTTTGAAAGCTTTTGATGTTTTTTCTCATCTTATATTGTTCTTATTCCCATATCCTCAAACTTTAATTGGCTATATATTAAGTAGAATGCTCTGAATAAATTTTGAAAACAATTTAATTAAAGAAAATTACTGTGTGATATTGGACAAGTAACCCCTCTGTATTTTGTTTCCTCATCAGAGATGATGATGATGATGATATAATAATACCACCCATTTTGTAGATATGTCACAAGGATTAAATGAGCTAATTCATGGAAGTTATTTAGGATGTATGTGTCATACAGTAACTACTTAATAAATGTTAGCTATGCTTATTTATCTCAAATACAGCATACTGGGTAGAGAGGTAACAAAATAATAGTAAGTGACTTTCTAATTTAGAAAGTCATTATGGCACCTCACTGTGCAGCAGGAAGTTAGAGTTTTTCTCCTATGACAGTAAAACGAAGCAGTTTCCCAGACTTCGGAAATTTTAGTTGGAATTAAAATGTTTTTTTCACTGCTAAATTCTAATGTGTTTTGAGGATACATTTCTCTATGAAAATCATTTTGTATCACTATACCACTTTCTGCTCCTCTCTTTTTCTTTTCTTTTCCATTGATATTTTTTAGAAGGAGTGGAAGGGAGGGGAGGAAAAGTTGAAGGGAAGTGCGGGGGAGAAAGAAACATCTGTGTGAGAGAGACACATTGATTGGTTGCCTCCCGCACGCACCCCAATTGAGCCTGGGGATGGAACCTGCAACCCAGGTACGTGCCCTTAACCACGAATCAAACTCTCAACCCTTATGTTCATGGGCTGATGCTCTAACTATTGAGCCATACCTATTGAGGCATCTGTTTTTTTTTCTCTGTTAATCTTTCTTTGTTTTCTCTCTTCATTCCACTACCTGTTTTCTTTACCTTGATATCAACATTGAATTTTTCTTATATCTTACTACGTTGATTCATTTCATATTTCCCATTCGCAATTTTCAAAGTTTGTGTCTCTATAAAGAAATTGTTATGTTTTTGAACCTATGTGGTCTCTGAATTTTGTTAGTGATCTTGATAGGAACAATCTTTCCAGTTCTGGCACAATATTGGGTTGAATCAGGAATCATGAAGGATCTTTTGTTTTTAAAACAAAAATTTAAAGCTCGCCCCCGCCCCCGTTTTTTTCAGGAAGTTTTTTTTTATCCTCACTCCGAGGACACTTTTCCATTTTTGGTTCAGATAAAGTAGGAAGGAGAGAGAGAGAGAGAAACATCGATGTGAAAGGAACACATCGAGTGGTTGCCACCCGCACGACCCAACCAGGGCTGGGGACAAACTGCAACCAAGGTACGTGCCTTTAGCTGGAACCAAATCCAGGTCTCTCTTGACCGCAGGCCGATGCTCTAACCACTGAGCAAAACCGGCCAGGGCTGAAGTTTTAATTAAAATAACTACTGTTGCCCCGGCCGGCTCAGCGGTTAGAGTGTCAGCCTGCGGTCCAGAGAGACCCGAATTTGGTTCCCGCTAAGGGCATGTACTTCCGTTGCAGTTTGTCCCCGGCCTTGGTTGGGTCATGTGGGTGGCAGCCACTTGATGTGTCCCTTTCACGTCGGTGTTTCTCTCTCTCTCTCCCTCCCGCTCTGTCTGAATAAAGAATAGGAAAATGTCCTCGGGTGAGGACAAAAAAAAATAAAATAAAATAACTACTGTTGTAGATTTATGATTTATCTTTTTATTGCGATGAGATTTTTATTATATTTTAAACCGGCACCTCATTTCTCTCTAAATTAAATATATATTGAAATATAACAGAGATGCAAATGAAATCTGATAGGCTATCTAAATGGTCAAGTGTTCACTTGACTTTTAATTCAACATTACAGGTAACATTCAGATATCTTGGATTGATGACACATCAGCATTTGTTTCTCTCAGCCAGCCTGAGCAAGTACAAATTGGTAAGTGTTTTTTGGACATTGTTTTTTGTATTAATTAAAGTGAGAACTTGTCCCCCACACCCTCAGTGGGCTCACAAGCATTACTGCCTGGTTTGTTTTGAGATTGTTTATAAAAAAAAAAGGAAATAATTAGTAAATTATGTTTAGATGAGAAAATAAGACAAATTTATTGATTCATTATATTTGCTACATAATATTGTTTTTTACTTACCTCCATTCTGTTCCTTCCCAATTGTATTTTTTCTAAAATGAGTTGCAGATTTACTTTTAGGATTAGAAGTAGCTAATTGAGAGGAATGGGGGACACCAAAAAATGATACCTATATTGACCCTTTGATCTCTGTGGTTTTCCCATGTATTTATAAATTTTGATGATTTATTTATGCCATTACATTTTTATCAAATACTTGTTTTACAAACAAACTGCAAGTTATGTTGTTTGCTTTAAAAATAGGGTTATAAAAAGAATGATCATCACATCTCTAGTTGAATCGTAAATAATTTTGGTACTCACCATCACAAAACATTCCATTTTCTTATGATGAAAAGTTATTGACTAAAATACTGAAGAAAATATGTAGTGTTAAGCTACTTATTCAAACAGATTTTAAGTGGCCTGGTGCTTAATAATGTAAAAGGTATGAAATTTTTAAGTGATATATCTAATTAGTTTTTTCTCTTTATTTAACAAAGTGCCATATACTAAAACTAACAATTCTGAAAATGTAACCATAAAAATAATTATATATGAAAACTTCTATAAACATACAAATTCAGACCAGAGTAGTATTTTGGTATTTTAAAAAATTATATGATCATTGCAGGTATATAAGCTTTTATAGAGATGAAACCTTATGCTCTGGAGTCATAGTTTGTTGTACTGCCTATAGTTGTGTTACCTTCGGCAAGTTATTTAACCTTGATAAGCTTCTGCTTTCCTCCATAAATTGAGGATGATAGCATGGACTTCTTCGGGTTATTGTGAAGATTACATGAGTCTATGTACATGTAACTTGACATAGCTTTAGACTTTTGTTATGGTTATTTATTTAAAAAAATTTTTTTGGTATGTGCCCCTAGCAAGAACCGAACCGGGGACTCTCTGGTCCTCAGGCTGATGCTCCAACCGCTGAGCCAAACCGGCCAGGGTTATGATTATTAATAGTAGATTTCAATGTGAAATGTTCTTCAGGAGCACATGACACACCAGGAATAGCATCGGATGCAGGCTGTGAATGATGTTGCTTGTTAAATGTTTTAATATTTACTTATTTCTTCAATCCATTCCCCACAATCCTTTGAAAGACAGTTTAGGTGGAATCCAAAAGGATTGAATTATTAGAAAGCTGAAGATAACTTCAAATGGGGGAGTAGGGACTCTGAGATTAAGACTGTAGGGAGACTTCAGTGTGGCTGAAAGAGCACTGAACAAGAACTCCCAACCTTTGGTTCAGTGTTACACTTCAGCACTCTTACTGTTCACTTGGGTAAAATTGAAGCTGAACAGTGGGTGGAAGGAGGTGCACAGTCTTTGAAGTCATACTGACATGGGGACTAATCTTGCCTTTGCTACTTGTCAGCCATGTGTCTTGGGCAAGTTATGTAAATTCTCTAAGCCATGTTCAGCCACTGAGATTTGGGTTTGTAGAGTGGTGGTTACAATAAAATATGGTTGTGTATGTAAATACAATTTTGCAATGGCAAAAAAAAAAAAATTCTCTAAGCCGCAGGTTTCTTGTTTGAGAGATGGGGATGATGATAGTTACTCTGTGAAATGAGATCATGGATATTGAGTTCCCACCAAAGTTCCTGCCACTCCACAAGCAGGGCTTGACAAACGGTAGATGATTATTAAAATATCTGCTTGGCCTCCCTTTCTTTGAACAGTAAAAACAAGAGTGTGTAAAAGTACTTTGACATCTATAAAATATTAGTTAGTAGTATTTCCTTTAATATGCAAACATAGCTCTGGCTGGTTTGGTTCCGTGGTTAGAGTGTTGGCTCGTGGACCAAAGAGTTGTGGGTTCGATTCTGGTCAAGGGCACGTATCTTGTTTGCATTTCGTTCCCCGGAGGGAGGCAACCAGTCGATGTGTCTCTCCCACATTAATGTTTCTCTCTCTCTCTCCCCCCCCTCCCTCCCTCCTCCTTCCCTCCCCCCTTCTCACACTATCTAAAAATCAATGGAAAAATATCCTTGGGTGAGGATTAAAAAAAAAAGAAAATACAAGCATAATTCTTGTTTATGTGTATGGGGTGTCAAAGCTTCTTTTAGTGTTCCTCTTATACCATATTTAAGGTCCAATAATGATTTCTTCCATATTATTGAAGGAGTCTTCAAATAGCACTTTAAAAAAATTTTTTTTTTCTTTCTTTTTTTGGTACGTGTCCCTAGCGGGAACCAAACCGCGTGTGCAGGCCTATGCTCCAACTGCTGAGCCAAACTGGCCAGGGCAAAAATTTTTTTTCTTTATTGATTTTAAGGAGAGAGGAAGGGAGAGGGAGAGAGAGAGAGAGAAACATCGATGAGAGAGAACATCAATTGTTTGTTCATATATTTTATCTTACTTTTCTAAAAGACCCTTCATCATTTCATATAATAACAGTTTGGTGGTGATGAACTCCTTTAACTTTTTCTTGTCTGGGAAAGTCTTCATATGGCCATCGATTCTAAATGACAGCTTTGCAGGACAGAGTAATCTTGGTTGTAGGTTCTTGCTTTTCATCACTCTGAATATTTCTTGCCACTCCCTTCTGGCCTGCAAAGTTTCTTTGGAGAAATCAGCTGACAGCCTAATGGGAACTCCCTTGTAGGTAACTAGCTGCCTTTCTCTTGCTGCTTTTAAGATTCTCTCTTTGTCTTGAACCTTTTGCATTTTGATGATGATGTGTCTTGGTGTGGGCCTCTTGGGGTTCATCTTGTTTGGGACTCTCTGTGCTTCCTGGACTTGTATGTCTGTTTCCTGCACCAAGTTAGGAAAGTTTTCTGCCATTATTGTTTCAAACAGGTTTTCGATTTCTTGTTCTCGCTCTTCTCCTGGCACCCCCAAGATGCGAATGTTGGCACGCTTGAAGTTGTCCCAGAGGCTCCTTACACTCTTCTCATTTTTTTGGATTCTTTTTTCTTTTTGCTGTTCTGATTGGGCGTTTTTTGCTTCCTTATATTCCAAATCGATGGTTTGCTTCTTGGATTTACGTACTCTATTATTGAAGCTGTGTAAATTATTCTTTATTTCAGTTAATGCCTCCTTCATTTCTGACTGTGCGTCCATCATTTGTGACTGGTCCTTTTTTATGCTCTTGAGGCCCTCACTAAGTTCGCTGAGGTTCTCACTAAGTTCATTGAGCATCCTTATAAGCAGTATTTTGAACTCAGCATCTGTTAGGTTGCTTATCTCCATTTCGCTTAGTTCTTTTCTTGGGGTTTTGTCCTGTTCTTTCATTTGGGACCTGTTTCTTTGTCTCCTCATTTTGGCTGCCTCCCTGTGTTTGTTTCTGTGTATTACTTAACGAGCAGTATGGGGCTTGCTGAGACCAGATGCTGCTTGTTTGAAAGAATTTAGGAAAAACCTGAAGCAGGACCCTATGGTTAAACAAGTGGCAACAGCTTGGGTGGGCCTGAAAGTTGGGTGGGGCGGGGCCTTAGGGAATCACCAGGGCGGCGCTACCAGTGTGAGCCAGGTTGCTGGAGTCCCAGGTATGGCAGCTGTCTGCCGCCCCAGGGAAGGGCTCACCAAAGGAACAAAGGCCTCTGACATTTGTCCCGGAGAAAGCCCTCTCTTTAACCCTCGCTCCAGTGCCAAACATCTCAGTTCTTTTCTGTATGTCTCTGGTGCCCCTCGTGCTGCCTCCCCTCCAAGGGGGAGTGAGTCCGATAAGTCCATGCGCGGGCCCTTTAAGAGGAGCTGCCTGGGGCTCCAGTTGTGTCAGCTTCCCTGAGCCTCAGTTCCTGCTGGTTTGTCCAGCCAGAAGTTATGGGGACTTCTCTTCCTGGCACTGGAACCCTGAGCGGGGCACCTGGTGTGGGACAGGGACCCCTCAGTCCTCAGGGAGGACTTTCCCAGCCTAGGTGTCCTCCTGATTTTTATCCGCCACACTTGGGTGTGGGACCCGCCCCTCGCGCCTCCGCCCCTCGCGCCTCCGCCCCTCGCGCCCCCGCCCCTCGCGCCCCCGCCCCTCCTACCAGTCTGGATGTGGCTGCTCCTTTAATTCCGTAGTTGTAGGACTTCCATTCAGCTTGATTTCAGGCTGTTTTGAATGATGGTTGTTCTGTAGTTTAGTTGTAACTTGGATGTGGCTGTGGGAGGAGGCAATACTGCATTTACCTACGCCACCATCTTGACCGGAAGGCTTGTATCCTTTATTGATACACCTTGTTTGTCTTCTCTAATAGACCATAAACTCTTTAAGAACAGGGACTGAATTTTTTTCTTTTTTTTTTATTCTCACCTGAGGACACTTCGTGATATTTTGTTCAGATAGAGTGGGAGGGAGAGAGAGAGAGAGAAACATCGACGTGAAAGGGACACATGGAGTGGTTGCCACCCACGACCCAACCAGGGCCGGGGACAAACTGCAACCGAGGTACGTGCCCTTAGTGGGAACCGATTCCTGGTCTCTCCAGACCACAGGCCAACTCTCTAACCGCTGAGCAAGACAGGCCAGGGTGGGACTGAATTTCTTGTTCACCATTGTGTTTTGAATGTTTAGGGTAGTATTATCTGACATTAATAAGTGTATGTTAAATATGTATTCAGCTGAATAAATGATATTCAAGGTATTATGACTTAGAAATGTCTTTTTGCACGTGATGGATGTATCTACTATCTCTGGTCTTTTGCTGTGATTTCTAAAATCATCTAGATGTTTCGCCCTGACTGGTTTGGCTAGTGTTTAGAGCATCGGCTTGCGGACCAGAGAGTCCCAGGTTCAGTTCCCACTAAGGGCACGTACCTTGGTTGCAGTTTGTCCCCACCCTGGTTGGGGTTGTGCGGGTGGCAA